ATATATATATATATATATATATATATCACATTTGAAATGTAATTAAATAGATATTTACACATTTGGCCATCCTTAAACTGTAGCTAAAATAAAAATCATAGGCGTGATCTAAAAAAAAATTTAAAACGACTTTAAAGTTAGATAGCGACTTTATCTAATCACGATTTAATTATGATTATATATATAAAGCTTTATTTTATTCTAAGTTAACTATATGAAATGTTATATCCTTTACTATAATACATTTTGCACATGTTTATAATTGACCCTACTTGCTCATGATTTTTTTCTCTTGTATTTACTTATTGTTTGGAAAGTACTCATGTTAGAGCATTCTTCTTCTAAGACACTTCAAAACGGAACTCTCTTGATATTGTTCTCGTCAATTCCACAATAAAATTTTTAACTTCGTGTCTAATAGCAATGATTTAAGGCAATTGTTTCGAACTGGCCGAATAGTTCAATAAAACTAGCTCAACATGTGGGCCGAACACAAAGCTTTTTATTGCTATCACAATATTCATTCATTTGAATATTCATTCTTGATAATCTTCACTATCTTCATTCGTTGTCTCTTCCTATATTCACGATTGATAATCTTCACTATATTCATTCTTGAATATTCATTATTTCCTTCATAAGATTTCGCTATCGCTATCACTTTTTTAGAAAGCGTTTTTTTATAAGCGTTGTCTATTGTGCACTTTTTTAGGAAGCCTTTTTTGTTAAAAGCGTTGACATAAGTCTTATTTTCTTAATTATAAAATTGCAGCACAAACCATTAGAATTCAAATTTTTATCAAAACTTATCACAAACCTTTTATAATTCAACACAATCGTATGTATCTGTGCCATTGTCATTTGAAGCATAGGTCGTATTATCCCCTGGTTCAACATTCTCGTTACATATCTCACCATGTAATATCCAACATGTATAACTTTGATCAATTCCATGCCTTTTCAAATATGATGTCAACTGAACTGCGTCAATCCGACGCCCATAACAGTAACCTAAGCAAGGACATGTGATTCGACTAGGGTCTTTGGCGTGTTCAACAACAAACTTAACGAATTTCTATACTCTATTCTCGTACTCTTTTGACAATTGATTGGAAGACATCCATTTTTTATCCATGGTTTTACTAAGTAAGCTAAACAAAAACACTAATTATTCACGCAACTATAGCAAAAGAACATCTAATTACCTGTAGAGAAATCAACAACTTTTGGAACCACACAGTGTAAGATTCTTGAAAACGATCAGAATTTCACTCTTCACAAGTAACCCTTATAGCATGTGTAGCACCCCTAAATTTTTCTCACCGTTTCTTAATCTATTGGCTTATGTTTCTCTGCATTTTGCATTTCTGCATATCATGGCATTGGTTCTCGAGACATGGGATCAAGGTGTTTCTATGGTTCAGGGTTCTCCTTTAATTGCAGAGTTTAAGCAGCAAGCGTTAGAGGCTTCAGCATTTTTTTTGTCCAGCAATCGAGTGGCCGGTTTTATTTCATTCAGCAGGTTATTTTCAGCACAGGAGACAGGTCATGATCTTTCTCAAGCATTTTCACAGTTATAACATCAAAAGGTAAGTTTCAGAGGTTTAACGTGGCTCAGAACGGGTGAATATGCAAGTTTCTCTCCAAATGGCGCATTTCAAAATTTGTGAGTGGTTAAGCGATTAACCAAAGGAAATTTTGCCCAGATACGTGCATTTTTAATGCTGCCACTTTTGGGGTCATTTTTAACACTTGTGAATTGGTTTTTGCATCAGAAGAAGGATCTAGAATCACTCTAAATTTTGATTAACTTTCAAAACCAATCCAATTTTCCATTCCTAATCTCATTCCAATTTTCAAACCCTCACCCAAAACCATAATTCTACTCCTAGCAAAGAGCTTATTTAAGTGAATTTGCTCCAAACCTCAAGGGAGAACCCTCATAATTTCATATTTCACACTCATTCCTTCTCATTCTTCAGAATTTGCTCTCAAATTCTTTCAACTTTTCTACACTCCAAAACTCCATTAGAGCTATTTCACTTGAATTATTTTATTCTTCATTGGAATCCTTGAATTCTAGAACTAAACCTCCATCATTCATCTCCATCATCTTCAATTCATCATTTTATTTTCGTTTGGATTTGGATATAATTTTGGAAGAAAGATTTTAAGTGATTCTTGGATCAACTTTGACTTATTTTGCTCATTCTTCACTTCCCTTGTAAGAAATCTCTTGGATCTTGAAGTTTTATTGGGTTTCTAGCTTGGATCTATCAATTTGTAGTAGAACAACAATTACCAAAGCAAATCTCAGCTTTGAAGGTTGGTTAATTCTAGATCCACTTCTGTTTTGAGCTTATTTGGATATTCACAATGTAGATCTTCAATTTTAATTGATTTTGTTGATTTGATCTATGTGATTTGTGATCTCAATGCTTGGATAAGTTTAATTAATGTTTGATTACTGATTTTTGGTGTTAAATTCATGCATAATTGATTACATGATCATTTGGATGATTGCATAATGGATTAATTGCTGAAAGTGCTTTTGAATTACTGTTTTTCTGCTTTTGGTGCAGTGTTAATCGATTAACCAGTTGCAGTATAAAACTGGTTAATCGATTAACCAGTGTAATTTTGGACTTTTTTAAGTGGTTAATCGATTAACCACATTTGCATTGCAAATGGTTAATTGATTGACTGGACCAGAATGTGATTTTTTGTTGTTTTCAAGCATGTTTTGATTTCTTTCCACCTCTAACATTCATGGATTTATATGATGTATTTGTGTGGATTTTTTTTACCTGTTTCATCATGCTTGATTATTTGATTTCGATTTTTCAACGCGTCACTTTTGGTTTCCGTTTGAAATGCTTAACATGTTCATGATGCTTGCTTGATGTAATGATCTTATGCTTTGCTTGTTCGTATCATGTTAATTGTTAATTGTTGATGACTATCTTGCTGGACTTGTGATGCATGTTAGCATTTGCTTCTGATTCCATTTGTCGTATGATCGTTTAATTGTTTAATTGATGCGAATTGCATGATATTCTTGTTGATTCTTGATGATGCAATCTTGTTGAACATTTGTGTTTGATTGTTGATGCATGTCCATCTTTGCTTGATACTTATTCATGATTGATGCTTGTTCATGTTGATTGTGTTGAAACATGCTTGCTGCCCTGTTTTCTACAATTGTTCTATTCTGAATTTACATGTTGTTGTATGTCATTCTTGCTTGCTGACTACCTTTTACACATGCTTTTGTGCTGAATTAGTAGCTGTTAAATGTTGTTGTACTGCCTTGCTGGATTTTATTGTTGTTTTGTGCAGGAAGCGCTATTGTAGCTGCTGTTTTTGCCTTGTTTTCTTGTTTTTATCTTGTTTTTGCATGCTCGCTTAGACCTTCTAGTCCAACTTAATTTTCGATTAAGCCTGGAGTAGGATAGACACTAGGAGTTTAACCCATTGTGAACAAGAGGAGAAAGAAGTGGGAGTCGTGACAGTTGACAACAGTTGGGCTCTTATCCAAGTTATGGTCTACCCTATGGTGTCCGCCATTGTGGGTGCCATGTGTACAATTTCCTCAAAAACTGGTCTTTTCTACCCGTTTTTCTTCATTTCTTCTCGAGGAGCTTTGGAAATACAAAATCCTGAAAACGAAACAAAACAAAAGCAAACAAAAGAAAACAACAATAAAATCTTAAGAAACACGTGCAATTCGAGTCAAATACATAGTATAATTTAGTGTTATCAACCTCTCCTAAGAAGTCGCTTTGGGACCACTGCAAACCACCTAATTTCTTCTTTGAATGGAGCGAAAGCTTGTTCGTTGTTTCTTGGTCAATGCGCACCTCCAAGACATAAACAATGGAAACTTCTGCTAGGGCACACTTCTGAAGTTGACTGATTTAGCCATGTTTTATTTTTATCATTTAAGAGGATTATCTTATCAACATTTTTCACGGTGGCGAATTGGAATAAAACATATCACACATAATCAAAGATGTTATTACATGTGGCATGACACATAAGCCTCCGTTAGTGAAAACTAACGGGAGAGACCATATTTAAAGACTGAAAACTTTACGAGGACTAAAGTTTGAAGAAAAATGTTGTAGGGCCTAAACTTGAAAAGTGTCATATTTATAATTACTAAAAACAAATTTAACCCTAAATTTTAATTGAAATCTCATTCTCCTTACTATATTATTTATGTTGTAAGAATAATCCTTATTCGATTAAATCTTTAAAATAGACTTAATTAAATGCAAATTCAAATTTAAAAATAAATAAAGTAGTTTAAAAAATAAACGTTAAAGTTTATAATTTCATATTTAAAAAAACAAAAATTCACAAAAAAATAATAATTATTAATGAGTTTAATTTGATAAGTGTAAAATAATTTTATATTATTATTTAATAAAAATTTATTAATATACTATATTATATAATTAATTTAAAATTTATATTTAAATGTGGAAAAATAGATAAAACGAAGTTGACAATATAAAATAATACATACCTATTAAATTTATTATTAATTACTCCTATCTCACATTTCAATTCAACTAAATATATTTAAATATATTTAGTCTTAGAATCCAATAAATAATTTACTCTCGTGAAAGAAAAAATAAATAAATTTATACACGGAATCAAATATCGAATATTCGTACAAGTAAATGCAAAACCCTAATACGCTAACTAGAGTTGCACGTGACACACGTGACTTTGAGAACACAGAGCGAGCGCCGCAACGCTCAACTCACACTATCTCCGCTGAAATACAAAATCTTTAATCTCAACCGTCCAATACATTTCCACGTCATCAATCCGCGTGAATCCGCATTTCAACGGTTCAGATCTGCGTTTCAGAGCAACTGGGTTAGCGAAGGGAAGAACCGTTTTCTCTATTCCCCGTTCACGATTTTCTCAACAACGAATTTCGAAATCTTCAGAAAAAAAAATTCTCTAGTTTTTGAATTTGGAAGATGAAGGTAACAGAGATAGTCATGGAGAAGGTTGAGGAAAACGAGGTCGTCGTTTTGAGTGATAATGATGAAGAGTATGAATCTGTTGAAAAAGTGGTGGATGATGGAGAAGACAGTGAAGAAGAAGAAGATGATGATGATGGCGATGAAGATGAAGAAGACAATGATGACGAGGATGACGATGACGATGACGATGACGCTACTGGTGCTGGTGATGAAGACGATGAAGAGGAAGAAGAAGGTGGAGCAGGTGAAGGTGCATGTGGTGGTGATCCTGATGATGATGATGATAATGATGATGATGAAGATGATGACGATGACGAGGATGATGATGAGGATCCAGAAGAAGAGGTAGATAACTGATATTCGATTTAAATAAACCCTAATTTATTGAAATTTTGCTTTTGTATGGTTTATTTGCTTTTGTTGTGTTAATTTTGCTTGATTTATTGATTTTTCCTTTGAAATTTGGTTTAATTTGATAGTTTTTGAAAATCTGTAAAAATTAGGGTTTTTTCTCAAAAACATGAGAATTTTTCAATTATAGATTTTTAAAAATCTGTTCAAAAGTTAGGGTTTATTTCCAGTGTTACTAATTTCTTTTTAAAGCTATTAGCATCAATTTATTTATATTTTTTTTATCGGAATTTTATAGAGATTTTGGGATTCTGTTCATATGTTTTTTTTCTTCGGAATTTCATAGAGTTCTGGATTCTGTTCAACGTTTATTTATTTATTTATTTTTACGGAATTTCATCTGTGATAATTGGAATATGTTTAATAAAGTTTTCAAATTTTGTTTATTTTTTGATAATGATTTTGATTATTTTTGGATATTTATGGCCTTTTTTTTGAAAGGGATGCTTTAGTCTCCGAATTAAACTCTAATTATAGTCGGAATTTGATGTTTCCATTTTCATAAAGAAAATATAGTTCTAATGTTACTTTGACCTAGTTTCTAATTTAGCATAGATCCTTTTCTTTCAGCTTAATTTTGTTCTTGAACTATGTTACAAGTTTTTCTGCATGAGTACTCTTTCTTACACATTGGTTTCTAGGAGGATTTGGGAACAGAGTATCTTGTCCGTCCTCTAGGTGCTGCTGAGGAGGAGGAGGCTTCAAGTGATTTCGAGCCTGTTGAAAATGGTGTGGATGAAGATGAAGTAGAAGAAGACGATGTTGAGGAAGATGAAGGCGATGATGATGTTGAGAAGAAGGCTGGTGTGGTTCCACCGAAAAGAAAGAGGTCAGGCAAAGATGATTCCGATGATGACGATGGAGGAGAAGATGACGTCCGACCCTCTAAACGATAGAGTTGGATTCTTTGTTGGAGAACTTGTCAACTATCAATTATAGGTCAACATATCTCCCTATCTCCCTGTTCTTAAAACACATTCCAGAGAAGGGATAAACTAGTTTATGAAGTGCTTGTTGCTATTTTGTATTGTTATGTAGGTTTATTATTACTATATTTATCAGGTAAGTGCATAGTCAATAGTGGGATGAGACTTGTAGGACAAATTTTACAGACTTGATTTTAATCTTCTACCCACTTCTTAGGTCAGTAGATCTTGTTCATTACTATTTATGGTACTCTTAAATTGTTTGTTGGTAGATCTCTTTTGTTTCATACAAGTATTTGGTTTTGTGTAAAGCTTTTTTTTACATATATGTTTTTCTTTTTTTACTTCAATTTTTCTGTTTTTTGCTTATGCTTTGATGGGTTATTTTATTAGTTGACCACTGTGAAAAACAAAATGTCCTATAATTTTGAAAAGGTATATTCGGATGTATTTAAAATACACACTCCTTAGCCTTTTGTATGTGAGATATTTCTATTTTGTCAAAAATATATCTCCGTAACCCTTTCTATATGAAATATTTCTATTTTGACAAAAATTAGTTTTGAATTACATCTCAGAAATATTTTAGAAATGCACTTTGGTAAGATGATCAAATGCCCAGCACCCAACTGATTTTTACACACTTTATCTCATTACTCGCTTGAATGCTTGAAGTTCAGTGCTTGGTTCATATTATAATATAGAATAATTACACACGCATGGTAAGCTATGTAATCAATCAATTTTTGGTTACAATTTCACACTAGAACTTTTGCATACTTTTAGCAACAATCTTTCAATTTTTTTTAACCAAGTTGTGGCATTTTGGTTTTGTATCTAGGAAACCATGATTTGGGGAAATAAGTTATTCTCATTTTCTATTAAGAGGCCGTTTGTTTTAACTTTAAAAAATGAATTTTTTTTAATATTTAAAAATGGATTTTTTTTAAACTTAGTTTTTATAAATTAAAAGATTAATTTTGACATATTATAACATAAACATATATTATTGAATACTAAAACTGAGGTAAAATCAATTTTTTTTTAAAGTTGTATCTCAAAAATGATTTTCATGAAAAATTATTTGAAATAGCTTCAAAATTAAGTGATTTTTTTTTAAATTTTGATATTCAAAAAAAGTTTCGATAAAATCATAAAATACTTAAAATAATATTTTAAGAATAACTATTCAAATAAAATTTTCATTTAAAATTTTTATGAAAAATTTATTTATAAAATTTTTTTACACTCAAATATGTTAGATTATAAAAATTATTTTTAAGAAAAAACAAAGAAACATTCTCTAAATCAAAATTCTAGACCCTAAACCATGTTTAACACAATCTAACTAAATAATGGTTTTGTAAACATATTATACATAAATGAAACCTATTATACATAAATGAAACTCAGGTTGCCCAACTCATAAAGGGGTTTAGTATGAGCAAACTATAACTAATGCATGCTTCCTTGTTAGTCACCAAAATGTGGAAGTTCAACTTTCTTCGTCGGACTGACTTTTTAGTATCTCTGTAGAATCCATAATCACTATCTTCTTTGGGTTTTCTATTGGTTTGAGTTCCACCTTCAATTGTAAACATGGTATCCCTTATTTTCTAAGGAAAGTTATTGAAGTAGATCTTCAAAATATTTTAAAGATGTTGATCTTACCTGTGATCAGAAGTAAATCGGTGACCAACAACACGTCGTGGTCTCCAACGTCAAGTGAGGAAAAAAAGGAGAGGCGTAACTGTAAGGCACTCCGATGCTAAAGTAAGTTCAGAGTGAAAGAAGACAAGTACAATAAGGAATAAAATTGAATACCTGACCCTCCTTCAGAGGAAGGTATTTATAGATAGCCCCTAGCGCTAGACCAACGATCTCCATTATGGGCTGAGTGATCAGGCCCATAATGGATGACTGCTAGGATTCCTACGTGGAGGTAGGGATGAGCAGCTTGTGCTCATCATCCCGGGTCAACTACTTTGCATTCTCTGGAAAATGGAAGACTTGCCCGCCTCGAAAGAAAGAACGTTTCCGTGAGATCAGTTGGTCACGTGTCCTCGGGTGAGGAGCACGTGGGGAATGTGCTATCCAACGACTATAATGGATTGAGACGTTGCGTTAGGCCTTCTTCGACACGGAGCTGGACTTGGCTATGTCCGACGGTGAGCTAGTCCTAGGCCCAGTCCAGAACAGAAACCTTATCTTGCCATTAGAGAGCTTTCCAGAGATGCATCTCTAGATAAACCTTATTTTTTATGAAAAAATAGAGTTTATAGATATTGATCGTACCTGATCAGAAGAGATTGTTGATTGGTCACGCGTCCTCGACTGGTAGTTGTTCACCAGAAGTAGGGAGACGGAGGGATGGCGTACCTGCAAGACACTCCGATGCTTAAGTGAGTAAAGGATCAGAGTGGGAGAAAATACAGAAAATGGTGTAGAAAATGAAATACCTGACCCTCTAGTGAAAGAGGGTATTTATTGAGAGACTCCAGCGTAGGGCCAAAAGTTACTTGCATTGGGCTGGGCTGCCAGGCCCAAATCAAGTAACTGTTAGGGCTTATATGGCGTAGTGAAGACCCGCACGTGGTCTTCGCCTTAGATCAACTGTCCCGTGATCTCCGAAAGGTGGGCTGTCCAGCTCTTTCGAAGGTGGATAGTTGCCTGATGACGTGTCCCGACGTGGGGGAACACGTGGAGAAGACGTGTTGTTCTGCCTGGCAGGGGAGGCGTCTGCACGACGTATCATGCTTTGTGCCCGACATGGGGGATTTGGGCCTTGTTGGGCCTTTCTCACATAATGTTAGGTTGGGCCTGCTCGACTGAAAGGCAGGTCTGGGCCCACTCCAGAACATGAGCCCCCTAAGTCGTAGCTCCAATGTGAAGGAGTGATGACTTGATAGCAACTGTGTCGAGGACGAGAAAGGGCGAGGATTGAGCTCGTCAGACTGTCATGTCGAGGACCCAAGGGGACGAGGCTTCGAGCTCGTTGGACTGTCATGTCGAGGACATAAGAGGACGAGGCTTCGAGCTCGTCGGACTATCAGGTTGAGGAGGCGGAAGATTGTCGGGCGCCCGTTTTTACGTGCTCGAGAGGGAACGAAGGACGTGACCGTTTGTGGTGGCCACGTGTCTGCCACCCATTGCTCCGCTTAGGGAGGCTACCTTAGGGCACTCGAGTGCCTAGGGGCACTTCGAGTCTCGTGTTGTGTTTATAAATAGGCAGGTGTTTGCCCTTTTATCACTTTTCGCATCGTACGTCATCTTTGGATCTTCGTACACGCACCGTCGTACATCACAACCATCGTATCGTTTGTCGCGAATTCCGTCATCTTTCCGCATAGCCTACTGTATCAAGTAAGTTTTTTGCTTCTTCTCTTCCATTTTTCTTATTTCCGGCATCCTCTATGGTGGACATGATGAATGTCTCGAGGAGGATTTGGGTTTTCTGGCGAATACGACGAGATTCCCTTGACCCAGGATGAAGCCCCCAAGGTCACCCGAGGTATTAGGATGAGTGTCTCGGGGATGGGTGACAGGGTATGGATGAACACCCCGGGGACATATGATATGGTTAGATGAATGTCCCGGGGAGGGACGCTAGGGATAGATGCATATCGCGGGGACGCGCGTTGTTGCTAGATGTTGCACCCCAAAATTTGACCAACCTTTTCTTAACTTGGTTTATGTTTCATTTTATTTTCTTCTAACATTTGCATTGCATAACATTGTTCATTTAGCAGGGGATCAAGAGGTTGTGCATATCAAGAGAAGGTCACCAAGAGTGTTGAGCCTAAGCAAGGGGTTTTACTCAAGCATGAGTGGTCATCAAGGTCATCAAGAGGTGGTCAAGGCACCTTGAAAGAATTGATGGGTGTATGGGGGTCAGCTCCTAACTTGGAGGTCAGGTGAAGATCATCAGAGGATTGTGATTTCATGATTATGGATATGGGATGTTGAGGAAGTTCATTTAAGGCTTTGAGAGCCATGTTTATTCAACTTGTTTTGTCATGTGGAAGAAGCCACAGTCAAGAGTGGTGCACCTAGGGTTTTCATCTGGTCAACCCTCAGTCAACTGTGAAATTGAAGGAGATTAAGACTCAATTCCAAGTCTTTGTGGTCATGGAATGTTGTGTTGAGATGTTTAATATATCATTTCAAGATCTAATCAAAAAGAATTAAGAGTGTGAGAAGTTGCTAAATTAGGGCTCTCAGTGTAAAATCCCCTATTTAGTTCCCAACTTCAAGACCACATATCTCAAGATACAAGTCTCATCTCATCTTGACCCCAACATGAAACTTGTAGAGAATGTTTCTAGCTTTCTTTTGAGTACTAGAAGTCTTTCATCTGATTTCTAGAACTCAAGTTATGATGCTGACAAGTTACAGGTCCTCAGATGAATGTGATTTTGGTCAACAAAAGTCAACCAACTTCCAAGCCACTTTTGACCTAGAAGGATGTTTCTCCTCACTTTGACCCAGACATGAAAGTTGTTCCTCATGATCTTAGATTTCCAAAGAATACTAGAAGTCCTTCATCTAATTTCTAGAACTTAAGTTATGAGGCTTGCAAGGCAGGGGTATTTTGGGAAAGCAGGATTACATGTCATTTTCATTATAGATCCATTTCACTATCTTGCACACTTCTAATGAAACATTTCTCAACATGAAACTTGCTCCAAATTGGATCATTTACTCAACCAAACATCAAGAAAGAACTTTTAAGGTAAGAGCTTTTTCCCAAGGTAAGGGCTTTTTCCCCATACACTCTAGAAATTGTATCGTGAAATAGTAGTGGGGCATTTGCCCAAAAATAATATAAATATTAATAATAATATAAATAAATATAATATAAAAGAGGTTAGATATTACTTGATTTGGTTCATCTTTTTATATTATATTTTTAATTGTGTTTGTAATTTTAATTATTCATAATTACAATAATATAAGAAAAATACAAAAAA